AGGGCCTTAACCACCACACCACCTGCTGGCCCCTCTATCATGAATGTTTAAACTTGTAAATAAATAAATAAAACGGGATGTTCCTGAGCCTGGAACATCAATCTGTATTTACTTTGGGATCATTCAACGCGTTTTCATCATGCGCTGAGTGGAGGCTTCGTTGTTTCGTTGGGTTGCCGAGCACACCTGACCTAGCCTCTGCACTTCAGGTAAATCGCCCTCCTGCACACAAGCCAGCGGGAGCCCAGACGTGCTCTGGCACCTGTCTCGTGTCCCAGCACCCTGTTGCAGCAACCCAGTTCCCTGCTCTGCAGACACACCCGCAAAGCTCCAGCCCTGCGTATGGGTCTCCCCTGCTGGTCCCTCCTCTTCATTCCCAGCTCTTCGTTTCTGAAATGTCTCTGCTGAGACAGACCTGCCATTGTCTCTGAATCCAAAAGCGCTCAAGCCCCAAGCACCAGGCCCTGGTGAGTTCTCTCCAGAGCCACGGTAACCATGTGTCACACTCTCTTCTGTGTTGGTCCCTCGTGTACCGCTGCCTCCCCAAACTGGCAGTAATCTCCAGAAGGGCAGAGGTCACCTTCCCTTGGTCCACAGCAGCTCCTGGCATGTATGGGAACAGATTTTAGCTGTAAAGCAGCTCGCCGGATGTAAACCGGCACAAAACCAGCCAGCTCCCTGTCCCATCCGCTGCAGCTGCAGCCCTCAAACTGAAGAAGAAAACCGTTTGATCCTCCTCCACCAAGCTGGAATTCTCTCCCCTGCAGTCCATCCGCTGCTCCCTGCCGGGCGACAATGCCCACCTGATCTGGTGCAAGGCCCGGGTTGCTCACAGCCCAGAGAAAGTACCTGTTGGTCAGAGGCTTCCCGGTGTTATCTAAGCGTCCCTTGTCACCTGTGCAGTGACGACGTGAGCCGGTGAGCTCGGTGCCTGCGAGACCCCAGGGGCGCTGGCAGAGTGAGCTCCGACTGCTGGTGAGCTCCCCACGCAGAGCTGCAGCGCGAAGGATGGCAGGAACCACGCACAGGCGTCTTCTCATTCTCTACATTTTATTTTCCTTAATTGTTTAAAATGTATTTTTCCTAATTTTCAAACTAGAGAAGTAACCCATATGTATCATAGCAAGTGAAATGCTTTAAAAGGAAACCACTTCAGTTCCATTTTCTCGGGATTCCCAAGGGCCTCGTACACGGGCCGGCATCCAGGTACTGGCGTAGGTAACAGACAACACAGCGTCTACAGTATCTGACCTACCTGCCCCTGGGTACAGTGACCTCACCTGCACATGGTCACATCCCTGCCGGGGCATTTATGCAGAGCTATCTGATTTAGTTACCCATCTGTCTGTCTAGGTTGCAGGTCCTTCCCAGGCCCTACCTGGAAAGCCCAGGCAGGCTCTGGCCACAGGGCCACAACTCCTTCAGTGGCGCCCTTGCTGTTCTCAAGCACCCCTGCTGCCTTGGTGGCCCTGGGATCCAGGGAGTCTTCAGAGAAGTGGTTACCGTCTGTCCTCTGCTCAGCCGGTCCTTTGGGGTATTGTGATGAGTGCCCCCCACTTCCGGCCATCCGCATCCTGCAGGCTCCAGGCCCGTATTGCCGCCTTCTCTCTCCAGCTGGCGCCCCAGGTTGGTGCTGACCCCCTCTACTTCCGGTGACCTTCCCAAAGCCGCACAGCTCTCAGTAAGGACCCCGTTCTCCTTCTCCACAGGTGTCCCTCCCTGACCCTCCTCCAGCAAAACGCACCCATGCCCTCGCTCTGCACCCATTACTCAGCTGGTCTGCCTGCAGTGGCCGCTGGCCGGACCCTTGCCTTACCAGGTTATGAAGGCGAGCAGCACGTCCATTATTACTTTGCAGGTTCCAAACATATTCAGATGGGTCACTTTAAACAGCCTATTGCCACAGCGGCCCTGCGAAAGAGATGGAGGTGAGCACAGTACCTTCCAATATGTAAGTCTTAAAAGACCTTAGCAGACCGGGGCCCGCAGGTGGTGTGGTGGTGAAGGGCACTGGACTCCCACATGGTTGACTGCAGTCCAAGTCCTGGACTTAGCGGCTTGCTTTCTCTGCCCCTTTCTAGTCAAATTAAAGTAAATAAATAAAATAATTCTTTTAAAAAAAGACATTAGCAGATATTTTGCAAAGACTTTAAATTGACAAGAAAAAAAAAGGAACTTAAGGGCCAGCCGGGGGCATGTAGTTGAGGTGGCTGGATCCCACGTGGTTGACTGTCCGGTTTGAGTCCTGGTGGCTTCAATAACATGCCAAGTGCATGTGCATACAAATCCCAAGAGAATAGAGGAGAAGGGATGGTGGTGTCGTCCTCCTCCCGGTGGGTGCTTTCTCATGTCTTCTCTCTCGCTCCCTTTGTGTTTCACCCCAGTGAGTGCATGTTCCCTATTGCAAATTTAATAAAAATTAAAAAACAGCATAGAGATTACTTAAAAAAAAAAAACTAGTTTCACTATTAGCAAAAGTAGAACACTGATATCTTGCCTATGAAATTAGAAAACGTTAAAGAGTGCTCCTCTCACTGTGCAGCAGCTGAGAGCAGTGGCACCCTAACTTTTCGTAGAAGGAAGAGCAAACTAGTGGCACCTCCGATGGCTGACTTGCCAACACATATTTAAAAAGAAAGCCATGAAACCACCCAGGGATTGCTCTCCAGGAACTTAGCCCGAGGAAATAAACAAAGTTATGTAGGGTGTTTTAACTATAACGATATTTGAAGTACAGCCATGCAATAAAATGCCCTGAAGAATTAAAAATGATAATGTGGAAGAATATGCAATATCATCCAAAGCTTTTTGATACAATAAGTAAAAAAGCTGATACAATGATACATACTGTCCGTGCCCCAGTGTATCACAGAGACACACATAGATATGGGTATCTTGCACCCACTAAGTGGCAAGGAAGGTTATTTCCAAGAGATGGCATTATGGGTGATTATTTTACTTACTTATTTATTTATTTTGGAAAGATTTTTGGAAAAGGGTCCATGTGCTTACCAGAGAGACAGAGAGAGAGAGACAGAAAGCAAGAAATCACCCTCCAGGGAGGATGGCCACACTGCAGGATATGGGGCAAGCACACACACATGCCCAGCAGATTCTTAAGCCATCGGGTCTGGGACTCAAGCTGTTGTGAGAGTCCAGCCACATAGCAATTACACAATCTTGGGACCAGCAGTTAGCGTAATGGCTATGTTGCTGGGACTCCCACGTAGTCGACCACGGTTCGAGGCGGACCTGGTGGCTTAAACTCACGCCAGGCATGAGTGCGTGCATGCCCAAGATCCCGAGAGGAGAATAGAGGAGTAGGGATTGCGGCATGGCCATCCCCTCTAGGGAGTGATTTCTCGCTTTCTCTCTTTCTCTCTCTCTCTCTCTCTCTCTCT